CTTTCGAAGAAAAAAGTCGTAAAAACATTTATCGACAATGGTAAGTAAACTTCCGCTATAGCTGATGTGTTATTGACGTAAAACTTGTGTTGATTTCAGTCGAAACGAACGAACTGCGATTAACCTCGGAACGACTTCAGCGACGGTACTTTACGCTTTAGCCGCGTTTGATACAAAGGATTTTAAGCGTTAGTTTAGGCACTTGCTTTTCATAAGTTGTATTTACTTTAATTCGTGGGACTTGCTGTTTTTTGTCATTTGTTTTAGTGTTTTTTTTTGTGAAGAAACTAAGCACTTTTCCAACCGCGCGATTTCACTTTGGGGTCTGTAAGTTAGGAAGAGGTTACGAGGCTCTCTCGCGACTCATTTTGTTCCTTCATAGCGTGAGTGTATCTCAGTTCACGTTGGACAGGCAGGAGTGCAGATTGGTAATGCTTGCTGGGAGTTGTACTGCTTGGAGCATGGAATCCAGCCCGATGGCCAAATGCCGAGCGACAAAACCATTGGAGGTGGCGATGATTCTTTCAACACTTTCTTCAGCGAAACTGGAGCTGGAAAGCACGTTCCCCGTGCCGTCTTCGTCGATTTGGAACCAACGGTAGTCGGTATGTCCGGAGATAAACCAAGTTTGAAAGATTTCATTCACGATTTCATCGAATGAGTCATGAAGTTCCCTCAAAGTCATCGTTTCAGTTTTCAGTTAGCGTCAACAAAGGGCCTGATTACATAAGCCGGGCTGGCCCTGTTAGCCGGGCTGAATTCTTTTGTTTTGGTGTTCGCCAAAGCGTGAAATCAAAAGAAATCAGCCAGGCTAACCGGGCCAGCTCGGCTCATGTAATCAGGCCCAAACTGTGAAACGCACGAATCAGCTGAATGAAATTTTATTTTTGTACAACAACGCCAAAGCAATGAAAGCAATCCTGCTGAAAAACATTGCAATCAATGAAATTACAAAAATTTCAAGGCAAAGTTAAGCTTTTTCAGTGTTTTCTAAATTTTGGTAATTGCCTGGGGCATTACCAAAAGTAATGAATAAAGCCCCCTGCCTCGTAAGCCTTTACACCCTTACATCAGTGAGCATATTCTCCATACTGTTCTCTATACATTTCCTCTGTTACTTACAAGAGAATTTTTTTAACAATCGAGAGCTTCTTAAGTTGGAGATCACTTTGTTTATTCTTTTGACCCTAATGTGTGATGATTCAGGGGTGATACTATAACGGTTTGTACGGGTCCTGGAAAACCTGAAAAGTCCTGGAATTTTATTTTTTGACATTTTCCAGGACTGGAAGACTGCAGGGACTGGATAGTCCTGGAAATTTGTGGAAATCAAGCAATAAAGTTTTCAGAATTTACACTATAAGAAATGTATATAGACCGTAATGGGGAAAATTGATTTTGAAATCTTGGGAATTAAAGGATTAAAGAGGAAATTTGGAGTCCTGGAAAAATCAGTCTGAGTCTGGAAAAGTACTAGAAAATTCCTTGAAATTTGTTTCTGAAAAAAAGGGTACAAACCCTCTATAAGGAGAAAATAGGTGCTAGTCACTAACAGGGGTCAAAGAGATAGTATATTAACCAACTAGTTGTTGTGTTTCAGATGAGGTCCGCACTGGTACATACCGTCAGTTATTCCATCCTGAACAGCTGATCACCGGTAACGAAGATGCTGCCAACAACTATGCACGTGGCCATTACACCATTGGCAAGGAAATTATTGACCTAGTCCTTGACAGGATTCGCAAACTGGTAAGATTGCCTTTGTTAGTCTGATCGTTATTGGTAATCACACCTAAAATTTTGCTCAAGCTGTTACTTCCAATCAGTAAGAGAGGGTATTTTAGCTTAGAATCAAGGTATTATGGTTGAAAACTTCCCCTCTTTTATGAAGACTCTGTCATGCATTCTTTGACTTGTTTGTTTAAAACGGGGAATGCAAATTATAGATTTATCGAGTAAGCTAAAGTAAGTGGATTTTAAAGGGATTCTGAATGGTATGAAAAACTGTGACCTGTAGATGTTTTTCCCACATTTATTCTATAAACTAGGTTACTTTATTTTTTTTATAACAGCAACCAGCAGCTTTATATGAATATTCTAGGCTACTCTAGCCTCAACACTTTTTTTATTTATTTATTTGTTATATTTAAGACTATTTCATTTTACTTTTGGGTTACAGATTGTTTTCACATTTGAAGTGGGTTTATTCATTGTGAAAAAAATGTATTTTTAATGTTTTTCAGGCAGATCAGTGTACTGGCCTGCAAGGTTTCCTCATCTTCCATTCCTTTGGAGGTGGCACTGGCTCTGGATTTACCTCACTGCTTATGGAACGGCTGTCAGTTGACTATGGCAAGAAGTCCAAGCTTGAATTTGCCATCTACCCTGCCCCACAGATTGCAACAGCTGTTGTGGAGCCTTACAACTCCATTCTCACCACCCATACCACACTAGAGCATTCTGACTGTGCTTTCATGGTGGACAATGAAGCCATATATGACATCTGCCGCAGGAACTTGGACATTGAGAGGCCCACCTATACCAATCTGAACCGTCTGATCGGACAGATTGTGTCCTCTATCACTGCCTCTCTGCGATTTGACGGTGCTTTAAATGTTGACTTGACAGAATTCCAGGTAGGGGATAGTTTATTTTGATATTTCGTGCTATTAATGTTCAAGCATGAACAAATATAATTATTATCAGAATGCTAAACTTAATATTTAGTAATTATCCCAAAAGACAAAGGAGAATACAAAAACAAGATCGAAGTTACCATATATGTGACTTGCTTGCTGCACATTTTTTTAAACAAAAAACTTGACCTCTCCTTGCCAGTCCTTCACAAGATTTAGGGGAAGGGAAGTGTAAAGGTTCTTTTGAAAAGTTTTGTTTACTTTATAAAATCTTGGTTACAGATTTTATATCTGGAAATGAAATATTTCATCCCTATGAACATACAGTAGATGTAATCATCAAAAAATACTTGTCCAATTTTGGGAAGAATCACAGTGTTGTGGAAACATCCTTTTACATTTTTCATGAGAAAGCCTGACGTGGTCATGAAAATGTACAGACTTTTACATAACTTAAGATAAACTTTAGCAAAGATTTTTGAATTATTTTAGACCAACCTAGTGCCCTATCCACGAATTCACTTCCCTCTGGCAACATACGCACCTGTCATCTCTGCTGAAAAGGCTTACCATGAACAACTCAGTGTGGCTGAGATAACCAATGCGTGCTTTGAACCAGCCAATCAGATGGTGAAGTGTGACCCTCGTCATGGCAAGTACATGGCCTGCTGTCTGTTGTAGAGGGGTGATGTGGTACCTAAAGATGTTAATGCTGCCATTGCCACCATTAAGACCAAGAGGACCATTCAGTTTGTTGATTGGTGCCCAACAGGGTTTAAGGTCAGGTTACATTTATTTGAGTGTAATCAATGCACAGGATATGCAATTAGTTGACTGACATTCTCTTGAATGAAGGGGCCTTACCAGAGAGAGGGATGTTTAACGTTGTAAACATTCTGAACTCAAAAATTCCATGCAGTTTGTCATATTAAACCATGAAAAAAAGTGGTAACTTCCCCATTTCTCCTTATAGTCCTGCTTTTAGTTTTGAAAGAAATTGCACAAGCTTACAGCCAGGTGAAAAAAACTTTCAAGGAAAAAATTGTTCTCGCTCATAGATTACTTAATGCCTTGGTTCATCCCCTAGAGATGCACTTTGACTATCTTCTCATTGAGTGTCTTATCGATGTTTTTAGGTCGGCATCAATTACCAGCCGCCCACAGTTGTACCAGGTGGTGACCTTGCTAAGGTGCAACGTGCAGTATGTATGTTGAGTAACACCACAGCTATTGCAGAGGCCTGGGCTCGTTTGGATCACAAGTTTGATCTGATGTATGCCAAGCGTGCATTTGTCCATTGGTATGTGGGTGAAGGAATGGAAGAAGGAGAGTTCTCTGAGGCCCGTGAAGATCTGGCTGCCTTGGAAAAAGACTATGAAGAAGTGGGCGTGGATTCTGTGGATGCTGAAGGCGAAGAGGAAGGAGAAGAGTACTAAACCTGGACTGACTTTTCTTTTATTGATTTTTTTTTAAACATGGCTTGACACTTGAATAAAACTTGGCCTTTGTATTTTCATTTTGGTGCGCCGATAGGAGCGTAATTTTACAAGAGAGGAGGACTTTTAGCTCTTGGTCTAGTTGACACTTACAATGCAAATGCAGACTTAAATTTTAAATGCAGGTATCTGCGGCTGAACTTGCGTTGCAAGTGTGATCAGGCTTGAGCTTTACTTAGAAAGGAAATGTTTCTTTTTTCAGTGAGTAGCATTTGAATAGGATTCCTGCACGGTTGTATAAACAAGAGAGTATTGACAACCCTTTTTTCAATCCAACAATTTTCGCAAGCCGTTTAAACGCGTCACACTCTACCGGATATTCTCTCCTATAACGAAGATTGACGGTTGTCTTTCGTCGTGCGTAGTAGTCCCAACATTTTACACCTTTAGTCTCTTCTAACATATCAAACGGAAAGTACGCTTATTTGGGTCAACTCTCCGCCAGTCGTGTAAGAAACAACCGCTGTTACGTGAAAGGTACAAAAATGAATTGAAACGTCAGTGTTTCCAATTAAGAGTATCCTTTTGATCTAACGTCTTCTTTCATGCGTTACTAAAAAGTTCACGCGAACTTAAATCACCGTGACCTTCTGGTTTGGCTTTGCGTAGATGTTGTCGTGAGACAGCTTTTACCTGAGGCCAGAAAGCGCTTTGTCAGGTAGCCCTCCAAGACGCTTTAAATCTTTTCATTATTCGCACATGTGCAGACGTTCGAACGTCGTGTTGCTTCTCTCAGGGAGGAATGGAGACTGGATTGGAGCGGTATAAATCGAGGCCACACGAACACTATTCCCTGGAAGCTCGAGTCGTTTTGCCAAAATGATTCGAAATAACTGGCAAAGAATTTTGTAACTAACCTCGTAGTTTTCTGTCTAAGAGCAGTCAGCAAGTAAGCATCTGAATGGAGACCAAGAAATAATAGTCGTCTAAGGATTCTTAATTCTCTTAATTGTACCCCTCCAATCACTGCTTCGAAATTGCAATAAAACAGATGGGTCACAGTGTTCACAAAAAAAGAAATGATGAAGCACTCAGCATTTATGCCAATACTGGACTAAGTTAACAAAAATTAGGTCAAACTGGTCCTTCTTCTCTTGCAAAGCAAAGAAAACGGATGCGAAAGTTAAATTTTCGAACTTTATTTCATGAACTTATTTTTTTTCGAGACAATTCAACAATAAAAAGTTCTCTGCAAGTTGTTTCCTCGTCATAAGCCAGGGTGATGCTTTCTACACTAGCTGAGTCTTATTTCAAGTTCTCAAGTCCATGACCTTTTTTATTGATTATAATAGTTTCACAGTTAGCAAAGTTAGATGCAATTTTCAATTGAGAGTCGAAAGTAACTTACAAGGAATAGTTTTGGTGCCCTTTTTTCCGGCAATTAACTTCTACTCTGCGAGAAAAAAAAATGAAGAAAATCCTACGTACACGGCAAACGCGAAACCGGTTACATTCACGTAGAAACGGCAAAGTGCAACCGGCAAAGGTGAAAAATGGCGGGAAAAACGAGGTCACGTGGTCACTCTTGCCGTTCACGTTTCACGTAAACGCGGTGCTAAATCTCTCTAATGTTACTAACATTTTCAGCGGAGTTATTTGTGTATAAAAGAACTTATAATGGGTGTTCAAGACTTTCTTCAATCAAATCCAGTTCACCTTCAGATTACGGACTCCACCCTAACACGCACACCATTTTTTGCAGACAGAGTGCCACCACAATGAACCACTAAAGGAACTTGTGTCTCGGGAGATTGAACAAACTTGTATTTCATCAGAATCCTGACAAGGGCGACCTTGATTTCTAAAAGAGCAAACCTCATTCCGATGCAGTTCCTCGGCCCTGCACCAAAAGGTATGAACTGGAAGGCATGGCGGGCATCTTTTGAGGGTCCACGGAACCTCTCCGGATCAAACTTTTCTGGCTCCTCCCAGGCATCGGGATCGTGATGTAGAGCGTATAATGGAATGATTACCTCTGTTCCAGCAGGAATGTGGATGCCATTGAGGTCATAATCTTCGGAACATTCTCTGTTGACTTGGGCGGCTGGCGGATGTAATCGTTGCGACTCTTTGATGACGCAATCAAGATACTCGATGTTCTGGGCGACCTCGTACAAAGGTTTCTTAGCGTTGGACTCAAGGGCTTCGCTGATCTCTTTCCTCAGAGTGTCTTGCACATCCGGGTTTACAGCCAGGTAATACAGAGTAAATGCCAACGTGTTGCTCGACGTTTCATAGCCAGCCAATAGGAAGATAATAGACTGTGCCTCAATCTCGTCATCAGAAAGCCTGCTGACCCCTTCCACCGTGGTTTCATCATTTGCATTCATCATGAGTTGAAGCAGGTCTTTTCGTGCACTGGGCCCCTGCTGACGACGGGATTTGATGATCTCTCTGACAACGCCTTGAAAATAAGTCGACTCAGTTCCGGAAAGCCGGATCATCAGCCTAAGTAAATAATTGCCAAACGGAAGGCGAGCCATCTGTCGAAAAATGTTTGGAACTTTGAAAATTGCTTTGGCTTTCTCCAGCATTTCGGTGTTCTCACCCAGTTGAACCTTTGCGTCCACGCCGAATGCAGTCGACAAAATGACTTCGAGCGTTAGCTTACTAAACCAGTCAAGCATCTTTACAATCTCACCTGTTGAGAAAGTTAATGGAAAAAAATTGAAATGTAAGTAAGAGTGCTTTCCACGCGTATTTTCTGGCGCGAGAGTATCGAGTGTAGGAGGCTGATTTCTCAACGCCCGCTCATCCGGAAAGTAAGTATGGCTTGCAGGCGAAACATAATCTAGAGAAAATCGCAATTCTCAGGACAATGGAACGAAAAAATGTGCGAAAAAAAAAGTTTTTAACAGGATCAAACTGTCTAACGGGAAGCCAGGCCAACTGCGACCAGTTCAATCCGAAAATTGTGGTGCCCTTGCAATGAGAGAGTTAGTAGTGCCTTCTGTCTTTGGCTATAGACATCTCGCGCAGGGCGAGCCGTAGCGAGATGTGACGCAATCCTTTATCAGTCAGAGCGCACTTATCGCTGTAATGCTCGCAATGCAGGATGAGTATTGAACTTTTTACATGGAGTGACTAATGCTCTTGAAAAAACGTGACTTATTTTCTCCTTTTGTTGGCTGCTTGTGCAACAAGAAAGAACCGTGATGTCGCCTTACAAGTGCAGCAGGGCCGGACGGCTTTTTCCAGACGGCTCACCGTCCGGCCCTGCACACGTCAGCATTCGCCATGGTTTCCTATGGAATTGCGCGAGCGGGGCCGGCGGGTCATGATAATCAAATATATTTTCTGCAGTTAGCAAACGTTTTGCAGTAAATATCGATGACGTGACCAGCTTTCGTGACGTCAGGCTTGACACTCATAGTTGTTTTTCAACACTGAATATCGTAATCTCTGACCGTTTGTCGTTTTCCTAATATTTTCGGCCTATTTTCGAATAATTCTGAATTTTATCCAAGTTAACCAGCTCATGATTTAGGATAATTTGAATAAAACTTCTGCAATACTTCGTCTCCCACCTGTATCAGCAATTTTATGAAGTTTTTCCATCAGCGTATCACACGAAGTCTCGATTAACGGCACCATCAGTTTCATCTTCCCAGCGCTGAATGTGGGTGTCAGGGTGCTACGGATTCGCTTCCATGTGTCATCTCTTGCATTCAAAACGTTTTTGTTGAACGAAGGACTCGGCCTTATAAATTGAAAGCGATTGCGAAAGTTTGGAAAGTCCTTGATCATTATCTGTTTGAGTAACTCTGGATCTGCAACGACCAGTGCAGGTTTTTCACCTAAACAGATGGCGAACACTTTGCCGTACTTTTTCATGTAGTCGAGATGCATTAAATGAATCCCATCGTACTTCCTCGCTTCGAGAAAGTTCCCGATAAACGGAATAGGTTTAGGACCGGGAACATTGAGCTTCTTGAGGTTTGCGAAGCCACGCGTTCCATACCAGTAAAGGAACAAAACTACAAGTATTAAAATAGAGGTGATGCTGGCAGGATGCGCGAGTCCCTCCAGTGGAAGAACTTGTTGAAGGATGTCCATCGTTCAAGTCCTCTTTCTTTTGAATGTTGCAGCGTTTTAGTGAGTCTGGAGTAAAATAAGAGAACCTCAGCTAAATCTGTATTGCTCCTTTGTTTACATAAAAAGTCAGCATCACGAACATTGAATTTCACTTCATAGTAGTTGTGATGCAGTTCATTGGCAGTAAACGAAAATGAATCACGACCTCTGGCCGTACGTTGATAGCTTTGACTTACCTCTTATTCCTGCGATGACCAGAAATCTATTTGTGTGCACTGCATGGAGCAACTAAGTGAAATGTCAACAGCAATCCCTTTTAAAGAAGACTCGTTGCGAAATCGCAATTTATGTAAATTGCCGTGAAGTCAAATGGTCCAATGACAAGGCGAGTCTGTAGAGTTAGTTTACACGATTTGTTGTGGGAGACGAATCTTCTATTGTTCCTTAGGTCTGATGTCGTCATCGGGGTCAGTGTCATTGCTATTTATATGATTGTGGGAAACAAGAGTAACACTGCATTAATGACACTGCAAGAGTGACACTTCAAGAATTACGCAGTGGACAATTGTTGTTTCTGTTTAAAATTAGGGACACTAATTCTGTGGGCGGCGTCAGCGAATAATAATTGCGTAAAGAGATTAAAACAAAAGAGTCAAGAGCGTAAAGAAAAACATGATTTTGCTGATGAAATTAGTCACATACAGTGTTTTTACATTTTGTACCGCGCACAAACTTCATTCGCAGCGAAACAAAATATTGCTTTACGGATTGATGTGATTTTCACATAAACGCAGCGGGCATATTCAAAGCAGGTTGAACTAAAAGAAAGAAAAACAATGGTTCGACGTAAGGGTGAGTGATATTCTTTATTAAGGGCCACTATTTACTCAGTTGAAGTACTGTCCCGTGTTACCCTCGTTAAATAAAGTTGATTGATAGATTGATTGATTTCCGAACGTGACATTACTCAGCATTCTATAAAGGGGTACTTTCTCATCATGATTGTCAAGAGGTCCACTAAAGGTGTAAATTTCACAAATAGGGTCTGTAAAAAAGATAAAAACAGAAAGTGTTCCTTCTCCTTCTTTTTTCCCACAACAGCTTGTAACATGGTGGAAAGGTGACACCTCGTGGTAAAAATTGGTTCCATGAAGGGTAAGGATATGCGATTAAAGAAAAAAGTGCCGCTGTAGTACCAAGCTTCATCTTGCCCCGAGATTTTTCCATTTCCACAAATTCTACTAGCTCTGTCGACTAAGCGAGACAGCCCACATCACAGTTACAGAAAGAGATGAAGGAAAAAACGAATTATATGAACTCATCTCCCAAAAGGCCCGACTCTTAACGATATTGATTCAATTCCCTCTCAAGATTGTGTCATGAACTACATCGGTGAGTCCATACTCAAACTTTCTTCTCAACTAAAGACACCAGAGCGGTAGAACAATAATAACGGCATTAGTCTGCACTCCACTGTGGTGAGTTCATTTTCTTGGAATCTTCAAGATCTTAAGGGCTGGTCATTTAATAAACAAAGTTTGGTCGTTTTTTTAACAAAACCACGTCGTCTAAGTCATCTTCAACTTAGCGGAACCTATTATCTCAACATTTATTTTTGTAAACAATGTCAAGAGGGCTGAAAGCTAATAGACTGGGAAGGACCATCATTTAATCATATCGACCATCTTGTTGAGAATCCCTGAGGCTCACTGCTTGCGTAAAACCGCGGTTTGCATGGGTTAGACCTCGTGTAAATAACCGGTCCTGTGTCTCACTGGGATTAACCATTAGCCGTAAAACGGCCAAATAATAAGCTTTTATAATCGTAACGGTGGTCAATTTAATAAGTTAGCCGACAGGCGTACAAATTGACGAATTTTAACCGTGAGTCCTAGCAAACCTTAAGCGCAAAACGTTTTCTGTAACTTAAGAGGGGAAAAAATTAATGTTAGCCGTAAAATGGCCAAAGTTTTAACCGTTAGCCGTAAAAGCTATTACCCCATTAAGACCCTAATTGGCGTAAATGGTGACTTAAAGAGATCAATATTGGCAAGAGTCCACTCAATCGTCACGAAAAGCAATCATTTGTTTATGCATGGCTCTACAAACTTATTGCTAATGGACAAGATTTAGCCAGCTTAATTTTTATATTTTTTCTGCCGTTTGTCGTCAACATTCTCGGAGTTTGCGAATATGTGAGAAAATACGTCAAAATGTGGCAAAAACGAAACGTCATCCGTGCGTCTTTCTCTCATTAGGTTATAACTAAAAACATAAGAAAATAATGGCACATTATTTTCTCTTGGTAAGAACCAGCTACATGTAAAATGCGTGAATAGTCCAGCTTATTATATAAAACGTCTTCATCAATGAACGGGCTCAGATGTTATCAACTTGACACCGTCGTGCACCGTGTGTCCGTCGAAAAGTAGGACACTGATTAACCATTAACCATTCCCCAATGCGGTTTAACAAGCGTTAAATTGTCATCAGATTTCCTTCTGTCTCTGGAATGCTCCTTGCACTGATTCTGTGCCGCGTAGAACTTGCAGTCTCTTTTGTCTAGACCGCATTCACGGGCAACCCTGTAAAGCACAACACAAACGATAAAAAAACAAAAAACAAAAACAAAACAAAAGAAAACAACCAAGAGAACTGTACGGCAGCGTATTTCTTAGGGATGCGCCAATCACATTTAGTCATAACCAACCAATCACAGCGGAAGTCAGTGCTTCTTATGGTGACATATGAGGTAACGTGCGATAATTAAATCGACCTCAGCGCCTGAAAGAGACAAAAAAGTTGAAATTTCAAGATCCACATCGCTTCGTAAAAAGGGAAGCCCAGATGTAACCTGAACATACTGAAAACAAAAAACAAAAACAAAACTGATTTACCTTCAAATTACGGACTCCACCCTAACATATACACCATCTCTTGCAGACAAAGTTGCTCCAGGATAAATCACCAAAGGAACTTGTGTCTCGGGTGATTCCACAAACTCGTGCTTCATCAGAATCCTGACAAGGCGACCTTGATTTCCAACAGAGCAAACCTCATTCCAATACAGTTTCTCGGCCCTGCACCAAAAGGTAGGAACTGGAAGGCTTGGCGAGGGTCCTTGCTGGAACCTTGGAACCTCTCCGGATCAAACTGTTCTGGCTCCTCCCAAGCATCGGGATCATGATGTAGAGCGTATATTGGATTGATTACCTCTGTTCCAGCAGGAATGTGGATACCATCGAGGTCATAATCTTCATAACATTCTCTGTTGACTTCTGGAGCTGGCGGACATAACCGTTGTGCCTCGTTAATGACGCAGTCAAGGTACTCGATGTTCTGGGCGACCTCGTACAAAGGGTTCTCAGCACTAGACTCTAGGGCTTTATTGATCTCTTTTCTCAGCTTCTCTTGAACATCTGGGTTTACAGCCAGGTGGTACAGAGTGAATGCCAACGTGTTACTCGACGTTTCATACCCAGCCAATAGAAATATAATTGACTGAGCTTCAATTTCGTCATCAGAAAGCCTGCTGACCCCTTCCACCGTGGTTTCATCATTAGCATTCATCGTGAGTTGAAGGAGGTCTTTTTGTGCACTAGGCCCCTGTTGGCGACGAGATTTAATGATCTCTCCTTCGACGCCTTCAAAATGTTTTGGTTGATTTTGTCGAAACCTTCCCAACAGCTGCGACACCAAATTGCCGAATGGAAGGCGAGCCAAATGCCGGAGAATACCTGGGACCTTGAACAAGGCCTTCGCTTTCTCGATCATTTCCTCGTTTTCCCCCTTTTGAATCTTTGCGTCCACACCAAAGGCCGTCGACAGAATAACTTCGAGTGTTAGCTTACTAAACCAGTCTAGCATATTTACACTCTGACCTGTCAAGAGACCATATGTTTGAGTGGGAAAAATTCAATATTCAACTGAGTCATAAGCCAAACGTACTTAAGAGGCATGCTCGCCAATTGTATCAATAGTTTTCCCAAAGATCATCCTTTTTTAATCCTTGGCAGGTACCGAACGAAGACCCCTGAGATAATCTATCTTTTCATAGCAAGATTCGTTTTCTGCAATTGCTTAATTTGTCGCTCACCTGCGAGGATCATTCCGCTAACTGATCAGGATTCTCTTTTGCAATTCAAATGCACAGACGCGAATCAGTTTGTAGCGAAGCCTCATAAGTTAAAACGTCTTTTAAAAAAAGGAGAGAAATAAACGGTACAATTTCGATGAGTTCTAATTCAAAGTTAGAGAGGCAATCGGCATGAATGAAAAGGGCACCAGTGCACACTTTCGCCTTTGCATTGTTTCGTAACTGAGTAATTTCAAATCGCAAACGATCTTTTAGTGCGTTTTCACCATTTTTGCACCTTGACGCGTTAATAAAGGATCAAGGTGCAACCACAGTGACATCGCGATTTTGAAAGGTATGAAATCCACTGCTCATGGTCAGAAATTTGCCAATAGTATCTTGCACTGAAATGGATCATGCCAAAGGCCCTCGATCCTCGCCTGCAAGGTACTAGGGAAGCATGACCACTGAGAACGTTACTTTAGTGTTGCACTTAGGTGCCACTCTTGCAGCGAGGCCGAAGCAATCCAAAACTTACCCAACTGAATTTACATAGGTTTTCTGTCGTAGATATAATTTGGATATATCAACAAAGTTGAAATGGTAAATTGGCCACCGTAATGATTACAAAAGCTGACGTTTCGAGCGTTAGCCCTTCGTCGGAGCGAATAGAGGAATTGTGGGTTGTGTGTGCTTTTAAAGGCAGAAAATGGAGCTACGTTATTGGTGGGTGCATGGCAACGAGAAAAACATGAATAAATTAGTGGAATGATAAGCGTTCATTGATCCCTGTGGGATTGAGACGTAGAGTTGAGCCTTTACTTTAGACACCTTCCGGGGGCTTAGCCAGCATTTTAAAATGTTGTAAGCATGTTCCCTAATAAAGTTCAAATTTTTGTTTCAACATGTCCGAGAGTCATGTTATTAAAGTGAAACGGGAAGAAAAAAAATTGTTGGCCCGGGCCTGCGGGCTACATCCCCGCTTTCCTCTGTTATATTCTTACGCCTAATTTCTATGGTTCGTCACGCAATTTTGAAGAATGCGTGACGCGCCAAAATATTGTCCACGAAGGAGGTTTTCAAATGAGTGTCTCATTCGATTTCATTGTATACCCTGGCCCTAATTATTTTCTTTTTTCCCCTTCTCCTGCAATGCTGTCTCAGCAATAGTAATAGTTTGCTCATTAAACCTTCGAGTAGATGAATGTTACCTAAATCAGCAATTTTATCAAGGTTTCCTGTCATCGTGTCCCACGTCTTCTCGATCAACGGTACCATCAACTTCATCTTCCCAGCACTGAATTTGGGTGTCAGCGTGTTACGGATTCGTTTCCAGGTCTCATCTCTTGCACCTGCAACGTTTTTGCCGAATGGAGGTTTTCGTTTCACAAAATGGAAACGATTGCGAAAGTTTGAAAAATCTTTGATCATAATCTGTTTGAGTAACTCCGCGTCTGCTACAACTAGTGCTGGCTTTTCGCCCAGACAAATCGCGAAAACGTTTCCGTACTTTTTAACGTAGTCGAGATACATGAGATGTATTCCGTTATATTTCATTGTTTCAAGAAAGTTCCCAATAAATGGAAGAGGTTAAGGACCACGAACATTGAGTTTCTTGAGGTTTGCAAAGCCACGCGTTCCGTACCAATATAGCAACGACAACAGAAGGAATGAAATCGATGTGATAGCAGCTAGATGAGCGAGTTCCTCCAATCGAAGGGCATTTTGAATCACATCCATCGTTACAGTTCTCCGTTTGTTGAATGTTGCAGCGTTTACGTGAGCCTGCAATAAGAGTTAGAGAAGAGAAACTCAGTTAAATCTGTGTTGTTGCTTTGTTTACGAAGAAAGCGGACGTCACGCACAGTTGATTTTACTTCACTGCAGTCACGACACGGTTCATTAGGGACCTTAAGAAACCACGACGGCGACGGCAACGAGGACGTGGAAAAACAAGAGATCTAATTGGCAGAACAATAGTTCAGCACGTGCGTTTTGAAACTTTGTACATTTCTTGGCCGTCCTCTGCAAAACAACAACGCGAAATCGCCAAAATTTGCGTCGTGTGCGAACCGAAACCGCGACGGCAAATTATTTTAATTTCAATTTGGAACTCAAAGGCTACTCTATACGTCATGCTGAAGTTGAGCTGTGGCGCTGTATGAGACAGTAAGCTCCTGCAGCCATTTTTTAAAGTCTAACTAAGAGTAGAAATTCATTTTTTAATGGAAGTCTTCCTTGGCGTCGCCGTCGTGGTTTCTTAAAGTCCCTAATAGCGAGAACATAAAAATTTATCGTTTTCTGTAAATGGCAATAGTGTTACTTCACCCACTTATCCTTGTTATGGCTAATTACTGGTTTGCCAGCCCTGTAAATGTTTGCGTGAGTTAAGAGAGGTAAAAAATTTCCCGGCGCCTCGTGAACCCTGGGAAGACGACGGGTTGTCACTTGGCACAAGAAAGAAGTGAATATTAGTTCTTGATACAAAGGGATACTTTTCGTTGGAAAACGTTTGCAGTAGTGGGAAGGGTCCGTGACTCAGGCATAGTATCCCGTATGACTCTCCTCTCCCGTGTTGAGATTTTGCTGGGTCATGCAAATTCTGGTTACAATCAACCAGGCGTGACGGCTTGCATTACTAGAGTAAACATGCCTCAGACAAAATGGAGATTACAATCCAAACCTCCAGCTTTTTGGATCCCTCCATCATCTTTTCTGTTGTAATCTTGTTGTTGCTAATCACCTACTGGTACGGTACTCGCGCTTTCTTGCTTCTGAGCCGATTGAATGTCCCGGGTCCTAAACCTCTACCGTTTGTCGGCAATCTTCTCGAGGTTCGCAAATATGGAAGCGTTCACTTGATGATGTTGGATTACGTGCGAAAATACGGCAAAGTCTTTGCTGTATCCCTCGGCATGAAGCCATCTTTAGTCGTAGCAGATCCCGAAATGCTGAAAACGATCATGGTCAAAGAGTTTGCCGTGTTTCACAACCGCATGCTTCCTACACCTCCGCCGCCCATGAATTCAGCCGTATTCTCCGCGCGCGACGAGACGTGGAAGCGAATCCGCAACATCCTGACGCCCTCGTTCAGCGCGAGAAAGATGAAACTGATGGTGCCTCTGATAGAGGAATCCTGTGACGTGCTGATGAAGAAACTAGAGGAAATAGCGGATACTGGTAAGTCATCATTGCGAACAATTTTAAAATACGTTGAAGATTCCATTGTCTCGAAGCCCGGATAACTCGAGAAAAATTCACTGCATAAGAGAGGTCCTGTCAACTTCCGCGCAAAACGTGTTTGGCTGCACGTGTAATAGTAGGAACCACGATCAACAAATTAACTTTACTTCGTCCCAAAGTGGGCATATTTAACGTGGTCGGAATACTCGAGCTGATTCTGCTCTGCATAGCTCTGATCTTCTAATCTCGCCTATGTAAACATTTCAGTCCACATTTTGTTTTGTTTTGAAACTTCGCTTAACAGGTAAAACAGTGAACATCATGGACTGGTTCAGTATGCTAACATTGGAAATTATCATCTCTACTGCTTTTGGTATTCAAGCCAACGTACAAACTGACCCAGATGAAACACTTCTGACAAAAGCAAGGCAATCCTTTCGATTCCCCTTCATTCTGCGTATTATAGGCCGCATGCCTCTCATCAGTTCAATTCTCCGATTAGTCATGCGTCTGAAAGGAGGGATGGGCTATTTTGGAAATATTGCTTTGGAGATGATCCGTCAGCGGCGAGGAGAAGGTGGCACCAGTCGACAGGATCTGATGCAACTTATGCTGACCGCCCATGAAGAATCCACACTCCAGGGCGACAGCAAACTAACAGATGAGGAAATTGTCGCACAGTGCGTGGCATTTTTATTGGCCGGTCATGAGACTTCAATGATCACTCTTTCTACCATTGCATACCAATTGGCGTTAAATCCAGAAATTCAAGAGCAGTTGCGAAAAGCTATTTTCCAGTTCACTGAGGAGAATCCAGAGGCTTCCCTTTACGAGATGTCCCATAGTATCGAGTATCTTGACTGCGTCATCAACGAAACTCAGCGACTGAGTCCTCCGGCACATCAGTTGAACCGAGAGTGCGGCCAAGATTTCCAAATAAAGGGTATTTCAATTCCCAGCGGTACAGAGATCGTTATTCCTTTCTATGCCCTTCATCACGATCCCGATGCATGGCCGGACCCGGAGAAATTTGACCCTGGAAGATTTCAAGGCTCCGCTAAAGATACCCGTCATCCATACCAGTACCTTCCGTTCGGTGCCGGGCCCCGGAATTGCATTGGAATGAGATTTGCCCTGATGGAGATAAAGATCGCAATGGTAAAAATCCTGATGAAGTTCAAGTTTATGCAGGCACCCGAGACACAGGTTCCACTTGTTATGCACGCCGGTAACACCTTATCTCCTCGCGATGGGGTTCACCTAAAGATTGGGTCCATATAGAAACTTCTCTAGAAGTTTTGTCACCTCCCACTTCAAGTTTGTTTTCGTCCGTGAGATATCTTAAACCCTGTCTAAACACCCGCAAAACCGGTTTTGCTCCTCCCTGTGAGTCTTTTCCAATCTTCACCATTTTCATACTCGCCGTAGACCCCCCTCATTCGCGCATTCGATTAGCCAACTAAAAGTTAAGAATTATGTACTGCTCAACGATTTAAGATTAGAATATTTTTCCTAGTTGATAACTAGCCTAGTCACGAGAATATGAATCATCTTGGCCTTGAATAATAGCTGCTCTTGCACAAAGGGAGAGCTCCGTTGGACCCGCAAAAAAATGAGTCTCCATCTCGCTTGGTCCGCGCACGAAACGAACGAAATCTGACACCAAAGAAAGGGGGGTGGGGAGGGCAAAATGTAACAGTCACACCTCAAGCTTGCATCAAGTTTCGCGTTTACATTTTCTTTGAACCTTTGATAATACAAAACGCTGGCCAGTTTTTTTTCTCTAAATTTTCCCGTAGACGTCGCCGCCCACGCCCATGCCCAGTGGAGCTTTTCGTTTCTCTATAATGCATTACAGAGGAAGTAATATTAATATTATCTCTTTGCTTGATGAGGTTGCGTGACGATACAATAGGTGACCTTTTTGGTAGACCAGCTCCTCCCATGTCAATGGCACTTTGTAACTTGAATACATCATCTGTCACCCTTTCAGCTGATGATAGCTTTCTGACAGTTTTAAAAGTATTATAGTATGGGACAGTGTGAAATTTCCCCATTATTGGACGACGTACACATTCATTCCACTCAAAGTGACAAACACCGATCTTTGTCGCTAAAAGACTTAGTCTCAAGAGAAGAATAAGAACCGGGTGGATAGAGAGAAAGATAAGGAAAGAAAAAAGTTTTCGTCAGGATGGCTGCCGGACTATTTCATGTTGCTCTTATATGTGTGTGCCTTTTTACAACCGCGGTGAGTAATTCCTACAAATTGTTTTGCTACCTCGTAATTCGCCCTGTCGTCTTAGATGACCCTCTGAAACCAAGTATTATTATTATTAGAGTCAAATAAAACGAAGTGATATTTAAGGGACATCACTGCTTTGTAACCAAACAAGTTATGACTCGTAATGGTCGCTTTCACGCGTTGTGCTTGCAAAGTAAACAATCCGCCATTGATTTCTGATAGAATGTAAATATTTGCACATGGTATCAATGAAATGTACTGATCTTTGTCTTGAAACTTGCTTGAGTATCCTGTACGAGAAAAAAAACATTTTTACATCCTTTTCCTCTATCTTGCGTCCCAATGTCTTCCTCATCAAGATGATATCAAAATGTATTAGTCTTCAGGGAAATGCGATCTAATCCAATATAATTTGAAGATACGTTGAAAAAATTCCGATAATTTTTTAGCTTCCTGGGCTTCAGGGAAGATTTGAAAAATCCCCTTCCCGGTTTTCTGCTAACCGAAAGATTTCGACTCACAACGGCGCTACATATTCAAGATGTGTCACTTGGATGCAAAAAAAAAAAAAAGTCTAAGGTACTATGTAAAAGGAAAATTACTGAGCGTTCTGCGTCGAATTTCCCCTGAGAGTAAACGCCAAAGGTTTTAGTTTAGAAACAAAAATATCGCAATCTTTTGATGAGAAGTAATCTCGTATATCCGGGATTTGATCTGTGGAATATGAGAAGCTTTGTTGAAAAAAAAAATCCTTGGAAAGTTGATGAGATGAATTACCAAATACCAATTTTTAAGCCATCCTTTGGAAAAGATTAGAATTACTTTTGGTTTCTCATCACGGGAATGCAAAGACCCAAACGTGAATTGACATGTTTTTATAACAAGAAGGTGAAAAGAGTCTGTTACGAGCACGGTGCAAAAGGAAGAAAAAAAACGTCAGCTCCCCGTGATCATTAACCATTTAGCCAGATGTATTATCATTGCATTATTATTGTTTCTTCTTTTGTTCTTGTTTACTTTCAATTACGCTTTGTCTTTTTGTTATTTTGCTTACCTGACGAAACAAAGACCGCAGAAAAGTCACCGGCCAAATCAAAGGGTAGGTAACTTGTAAAGAAAAGATAGCTTTTATGATATGTTCTCCATATTTACCATATTACGACGGCAAAGTGATCCTTTTTCAGCTGTCAACCCTTTCAGCTCCCATGATCTGATAAGTGATTCTCCCTTCTTGAAGTTGCGCATTTCGCTGCATATTAGTGAAGTGGGCGTGATTCTTGTGGGATAAAATTTCGAACTTGTGAGGATATAGTTAAAAAATATATTGACGACTTCGGGGAGATTAAGGTTAACCAAGGAAGGAAATAAATCGAATTAATTGTGTCAAGCGCGCCGTTCAATTACGTTTTTGAATTTGCCTATTTTCGGGGCCAGTCCAATGTAACAATGTGCAATGAGCTACAAAAAAACTGATAGGGCCAGTTATTGAGACAAAGTTTAGCCATTGTTTAACAAAACCGCGTTCTAAACCATCTTAAATTTAGCCGAACCTTTTACCTGGACATTTATTTTTGTGAACAGTGTCAAGAGGGCCAAAAGCTAACAGTAGAAAGATATTTATCCGATTAATCAATCCTCTTCTAGAAAATACCCGAGGCCCGTCACTTGCGTAAAACCGCGGTTTGGGTTGGACCTCGTTTGAATAACCAGCCCATAATGTTTATGATCAATAATATCAATTTAGTTCCCGGTTAAATTTAATAAGAAAAAAAGTACCACATAGTACACGTAGATTATGATCTTAATTGTTCTTTGCCGGACGAAAGATGATCTTCAGTCGTCATCCACTCTCTTATATCTCCTTCGGGCAGCCCTTCATTTCCGGCCTCTTTAGAATTGCTTAAGTTCCGTGGCGGTTTTTAAGGTCAAAGGGGACGCGAGGAGTACGCCAAACATTCACGCCCTGTTGATTGAAGAATGAATAACGTTTCAAGCTGATTAAATTTCTGTCTGGTTTTTTACACAGTACGTTTTGTTAATGCTTATCCCCTGGATAGTGGTTTATCCGTTGGGTAGCGTGATTATCCGCCCTTTGAACTGCTGAGCCTAGAACGCATGTTGCGGTTTGTGTCGACAATGATTTAGTAGAAACTCTTGGCCGTTCATTTTTCTACCACCTTTTAGGCTCAGTTAATCAAAAGTGTCTATTATGAACTATCGATTATTTTTAGTGTTCTTAACTGATCTTAAAATCCGGGAGGAATTTAAAGCTACGGGAGTGCTGATCGATAATAATCGACAATAATAATAATGAATTATAACCTCCCCTAAAGAAGGTCAATCTGGGTGTTGCTCAAGCATAATCTGATAACTAGAAAAGTCTCTTTAAAGAAAACTGTCTGAATGTCGCCGTCTTACGATGCATCAGTCAGTCAGTCGAGCTGCAAGAGGCGAAGCGAGCTGTGAGAAGTCTGGCACGAGAAATGCCAAATCCCTTGAGACAGATTCCTCGCAGACCTCTTGCGCGCTTGCACCGCTCACCGCCTCGAAATCCGTGGGTTTCGCCGCCCACGTCACCCTGCTCGTAGGCTGTCCATTGTTCCTGTAGGAACACTGCGAATAAAGTGTATCGCCCACCAACTCAGGACATTGATCCCGTCCATGGGCTTTGATTAGATCGTTTGATCCAGCCTCCAGGACTGAAGGACCCGTCACTATTTAATATTTATCGCTTTGTGGGTTGGAGTCAGAGTAACCTATGTGTAGCCGCACTCACCCCCCATGGAGAAACGGAAGGGAGGGAACGTCTGCGCAAACATTACACAAATCGTTTCTCCACGGGGGGAGGACGTGGCTACACGTAGGCTAGAGTCGGAGAATCTTGGTTGTGTCCGATAAAATTTAGCTGACCTCTCCCCTTATAAGGCTCTGTAAATTTTTATGATCTCGCCCCATTGAAAGTCAATTCTCTATAGTCCCCTATTTATGCTCTGTTGGCGAAGACTGACCCTCCCCCCCCTCTCCATTCCCCCTGCAATCCTCCGACCGCCTAGACCATATATCATGATTGGTCCCTAGGTTGTGGCAGGAGTTGCCTTATCAAAGATTTTGTTCACTTTTCCAATTGTTACGAGACTTTTGAAACACTCATCAATAGCCAAGTGTGGTCAACAGAATTCAGTTTATATGCGTAACGTATTTTTAATTATTGTTTTTTCCAAAGATCCGTGTGAGAGGGTTTTCTGCACTAAAGGACGTATGTGTGTTGTAAACGAGGATCGATCTACTACTTGTGTGTGTCCAGAATCTTGTCCTGAGGAGTATAATCCTGTCTGCAGTGTGTACCGAACGGAATTCAACAATAATTGCGAACTGCACAAGTTTGCTTGTCGACTTGGCGTTATGGTTGGAATTGAACGACAGGGAAAATGTGATAGCGAAGGTTCGTTGCTAGAAAAATCAACCAAATATATAGCAGCTTTATTTACGAGACGAAATTGTCAAAAAGAGTTTGCTTAGCCTGCAAATAGGCGCCTATAATTATAGCCTACGTGTGACCGTACCCTCCCCCCGAGGAGAGGGGGTTACGGCTACACGTCGGCGCTCATTAATACCGCTGCTGACCGAAATGATATGTTTCGATTCGAAAGAAGGTAGGAACTCCACCCTTGTTTTCCTAATACGATGAAACCGTTCTTTCCTATCGTTACATAGCAGTGAGTTATTTCTTCAACAATTCCAAGGGAAAGGGAAGAGAAAATATCTGGTTAAGGGCTCGCCTCCCTCTGCTTCGGTGGGGGTTGGGGTGGGGCTATTCCCGAACCTACAGTGGAATCCTGATTTCTCGAAGCTCTAGGGGAAACGCAAATTGGTTCGAGAAATCGGGAGTTCGAGAAATTGGGGGTGAAATTACAAGTGAAGCAAATCCAAGGGAAACAAGGTTTGGTTCGAGATATCGGGAGGTTCGAGAAATCGGGATTCCACTGTATTTTCCCATTTTTCCAGCTCCTTGACCTTGTTTTTTCTTCTTGATATTAACTTTTTCGTTATTTTTAGGAGACAAGTGGAAGTGGGGCCCATGCTCAACCTCCAGCCTTCAGCAGTTCCATGATCGATATCTTGAATATCTGATGTTTGCACGAGAGAAGGAGTTGGATCCAGATTTCCCAACTGGGTCGAAAAGACTGGATTCGCTGACATATGAGGAACGGAAAGCAATTATCGAGGTTAATGGACTGCCTTATGCCCTTTTCAAATACCTATCTTATGCACACCTTGCTAATAATCCCTCATCACTCATGACTTACGGATCTTGCTGCACTCGATCTGTACCTTATGACCTATAGCCAAATATTTTCCCCTCCTCTCACACTCAGTCAATAAGTGAATATTACGGCCCTTTTCGCGCCATCACGTACGGGTATTTTTGTCAAATCTTTTTTTTTTTTTAATTAAAGCCCGCGGGGCCCTACGGGTCATATGGTAATCTCTCTTTTGTTTTCTTTTTTAGTGGGAATTTTATGGTATGGACAAGAACCACAATGACATTCTCGACAAAGAGGAAATCGAATTAATGATCGACCCGAACGAAGACTGCATGGTTGGATTCATGAAGTCATGTGACTATGATCATAAACCGGGCATTAGTAGGAAGGAATGGAACGAATGCTTCCCACCAATCAGTACTGGTGAGTAGGTAACATAACTGGGGCAACAATGACGGGAAAAAGCGCGTGACATGTAAAAGAAAAGTGTTGTAAATGCTCGGGAGAAACGCGGGAAGGGTGTTAAGAAAGCCCGCAAAAAGTGGCATGAGAGACACTATTGCAATACACTTTGAATCATTATTTAGCGCTTTAGACAGACACAGACACCATTGCATGTTTTCCGCTCGCCCTCATTTTCGTCCTTCATAACTGACAAGTCGGCAACAGGCTGTCGTCCCATTTCTCGCCTGAAATATCGAGTGATCGCTCATTAACCTTCGGTGACACCTTTCAAAATCGAAGATAATCATGTATTTATTTATTATTCAATAAAAGAAAAAGTTGAAACAAGTAAAAATTTGAGGTTCCCTTCCAGTGGAAGCCCATGAGTAGAGAACGTCTTGATTTAGCCTTGGAAGCTGCATTCATACATTAACTTCTACCTGGAATATAAAATTGAATCTTTTTTTTAATGTTGTTTCTTTTCTTGTCTTAACAGAAGTGAACCAGGACGCTATGGACTTCTAATGAAATAAGTACCAGGTGTCAGGAGGAGTCTTCAAAATACTTGATATCGTTTTTATTTCTTCAGATGTCTCTTCTAGTTCATTTGTAAAACCTCATTAATCAAGAATGCATCGATTAAAATGATCTTCTTTGCTTCCCGCAAATATGTCAATTTCTTCCTTCCGTAACTTTGAGAATCCTCACAACCTTTCGTGATTTAAACCAAAGTTAAACTGAGTCCTCTATAATATCACAAAATACGTCTCAAAAAAAGAGCGAATCTCTTAGCTCTTAGGCCCCAACCTTGTTTACAGGCAGTCTTTTAATCTCACCCAGTTACTTGAAAAATGTAAACATACCTCTTGCTGACCTCCTGTTCTCAATCTGAAATGTAAGGTTCTTTAACTTACAGTACAGACCGCGAAAACGAGTCAAACAGACGTTTGGCAGACCGTACAGTAAAATACGGCCCGCTAAATCTACTAATCATCGCAAACTTATTAACTGAGAAAAATGTTAAAGCGTTGGGGAGCATGCAAGTGCGGCGCGCGCCCCTAACCACCAACGAGGAAGTCGGGCTGAATAGGGACAAAGTGCTTTTACACTGGTATAGCAATTAGAATATTTCGACACCTCATTGGCATCACACACACACACACACACACACACAGAGTTATCTTATTGCCTCACACATTCAAAGAGTGGTAATTAGTCGGTCGTGGTGTTTATGTTAGTTCCCGCGATTCAGCTGATGCGGCATTTTTTCGCGGGCAGCATTTATTCAAATCATCATATGTGTGGTAAAAAAAGGTTCAAAATAAAAAAAGGGCATGTTTAAATTTTATTCATAGTCTCGTTTGGCAACAAAAGTTGATATTTATTTTACATTAGCTTGTACTATGGTACGTTTTCTAGTTAAAAGAGGCTACCCAAATGAAAAGTTGCACTGCCGACTGTGAGATCTGCTCGTCGCTAGTTACATCGATATTTGAAGCGAAACTCGATGCATCGGTTTTTTGCACATTTAATCTACCAGGAACATTAATTTTCTGTTTTTTTACTGCCTTTCCTGCTTTAAAACTGACAACTTTAAAAGCCCTTTTAGATCGAAAATCTTTACGGGGAGGCATTTTAAAATGGCGCCTGCAAAACCCATCCATTCTAGCACCAGGCCTTATTTTTGTTTTCGGTAATCTAATCTCGGTAGGTAAATAGGGCCTACTTTATCCGCATGTATGCGGTAATTTGAGAATAATTAGATTCGCATATAAGCGGTAGATTAAGGGCGAATCGGTTGGTTGCAGAGGAACGTAAGCCGCGCGAGGGCATGGGGCGAAAGCGGTAACATAAGAAACTCAGTCCTTAGTTGAAAGAAAAAATGGCGGCAGGTATCGACATCAAGTGTCTTTTCTTTTACCTTCTTTTATTTTCTGTTTTGCTCGTCACAGCGGCTCATAGATGCGAGGGTGAGTAGAACAGGTTATCTTCTGTCCAATTAATGTCTGTTTTCCTAGGAATCCTGAATTCTGGTTGTATTGCTTTGATTGATCGAAAAGTTTGCGTCAGTTTCTTTTCCACATGTATCGCATCTTCGCGCGTTTCTAAGCAAGCATGGTACTTCGTATCGCGAGGCATAACTGCTTGTTCTTCAATGCACAACCGCTTTTTTCCACTCGTTTTTCTGTTTGTTTAATCTTGCCTTGCTCGGTGACTTTGTAGTACATGTGCGTGTACATGTAAGCCGGAAGGTAAAGGCGTGATCGTGAATAATAGATTTCTGTACGCGGCTTTTCGTTTCTTAGTTTAAAAAATTTTCGGTTTGTCTTCAAATCTATGGTGTAAAGAATGAAAATTTTCTTAAGGACCCAAAGAAACTAAGCAAATAGAGGTACTGAATTGTAAGCAGGCTCTTAATTGGCACAAATTAATGCTGTACCTTGTAGCACCACAAAGGTAAGGATTGGTCGATACCGATACCAAATATTGGATACAAGGATACTGAGGTCTACTCAGAAAATATTAACACTAGCAGAAAGTGTTGTCGATTTTGGTACTGTACATGACTGACTTGCACTTTCTCTGCTGGCAAGGAGTCGAAAAGACTCTGGGCTCGAGATTGGGCAATGAGCACCACAGTGTACCAGTCTAAGTGGGTGTGAGTGGTACAAGAGTGAACTAATGAACAACCATGTGTTTTTGACTTAAGTATGTCCTCAATCCGCTTTTCATTTTTGACTGTCTTGTTGATGTTTCTATAGAGTACTGAACACAGCATAAGATCACCACTGTGGGATGACCTCATATTAAATTTTCATCAATCAAATGAGGTGGCTTAAGTACTATTCAACTCAATGATGTCACAGTATTGATATTGATATGGAAGAAAAACATTACCATTGTTCTTGGTATTGTATCAATTCTGAAAAAAAGGCTATCAGTCCATCCTCAAGTCACGGGCTTCTCCCAAAGTCTGTGGTAGTTAATTGAGCTGTGATGCAAACCTTACCTGGTGGGGGTGGGGTGGTGAGTAAGGGTCTTGCACTGATGAGTAGAATTGTACTTTTTTAACAGATATCTATGTTTCAAATCTTGGAAGAGACTGGTATTTTACATGTGGACAAAGCAATAGTTCCATCATTGCAGTGTGTGTACATGGTGGCGAGCTTATGTTATCTCGCATTTGGGCAAGCGTTAAAGTCCTGCTCAAATTTGACAAAACAGAGGTGCAGTTCTATGAGGCTGAAAGGTGAACTTGGATTGTATGTTCATGGTTTGTTTGAATCTTATATGTATACTAAAAGTCTTGGTTTATTTTCCTTTGTTTTGGTATGACTATATGATTTAACAATAAAGGTACTTCAACAACAGAGAAATTGAATCTGAAACACAACCAAACTTGCCACAACATGCGAAATAATTTATAAAGGGGGGGCGAGTTTCTAAAGAAGCTGGTTCTGTTCCGGTGGGAGGAGGAGGGGGGAAGGGGTATAATTCAAATATTTGATTTTATCAACTAATTTTTAAATTGGCCATTGTAAAGGGTTTCTAAACCTGACATTTTGATTGTTAGCCATTTGTCAGAGCAAAGGGCTAATGCTGGAAATGTTAGCACAAAACTCTTTACAGGTGCCAATTTATATTATTAACTCAGTTGATAAAACCAAAGTACAAAACACATACTTGTACATAGACAAGGTGTGGGGATAATGCAGCTGTGAGAGCTCTTGTTTTCTATCACAGGGGCCTTTGCTTGGCACAACATGTGGATTTAATTTCTCTCTCTTCTTTCCTTGAGTATTTTTTTCTTTCCTATATCATCCAACTTTCTCTTTCCTCCCTTACCATGAATACAGAGACCACTCCAAGTTTTATTTCAGGAGCTTTTAAAGTAGTGACCATTCCTTTTTTTTTCGCAACCGTTTCATTTGATTCAGGGGTGATACTCTAAGGAGAAAGAAGAAACCAGTCACTCTTAGGTGTTAGAGGGTTAATGTTTTAAATTATTCATGACAAGGGACTAATTATTGATTGCCTATGTAATACTCACCAGGTTCTAGGTCTGTTAGCTGATGAAAATAATTTTGATTATTGATAACTAAAGTTTCTAACAATTAATACCTACTTTAATTTGTTCCTCAGCTGCTCTGCCTTGTATCCAGCAAACAAGTCCTGGGCATCAGTATTGCAGTCCTTTGTCACTTCTAGGAATGTTTTGGATCAAATTGTGTTCAGTTACTCACCATTAAAGACATCATGCTTTGCAGTTGATTTAATTGGAAAGAAGCAGGCTGTGAGAGTGATGGCTTCACTTCGAGGTGAAAGGAAATAATGATCAGATTTGTGTTACCTTTCAATTATGTTATTGCACTCACTCTGACCTGTCTCG